CTCGGGAAAAACATCGGGAAAGTTGCAGATTTCGGGGATGCTCTCGAGGTCTTTAACTTCCTGCTTCTCGTTAATGACGTGGGCTAGGAATGCATAACACTCCTTCAGCAGGAGTTTCTGGGCTTTGATGCACGAAATGATGCGAAGGTTTGAACTGAGTTTATCGCCGTAGATTACAAGAGTTTCATCCGGGGAAAGATTGAGACGGATAGCTTTTTCGAAATAAAGGATATCAGCACAATTGGGGCTCAACCAATCCATGCAGATGATGACATCAAAGCTTTTTATAGAGACTGGCATAAGATCGATGGGAAATGAATGGTCGTTCAGAGTAAGGGTACAACCCACGAATATGTCATTAGTGCTCTCTTTCTCACCGTTAGCCATTTCGACGGTAAACGTTTCGGCTAAAGGTTGGGATTTATGTTTAAGAAAATACCTTAATGCATGACTAACAAAACTTCTTTAAGCACCAGAGTCGAAAAGAATGCATGCATAAGAGTTGTCGAGGAGGAACGTACCCGAAACAACGGTAGGGTCAGCCACGGCCTCCTCTTGCCCCATAGCTAGTACTCTCCCGGTGTTGCCAGTTGTTTCTGCCTTGGGGCAGTTCCTCTTGTAATGCCCGATTTCCCCACAGCCGTAACAGGCTTGACCACCACCTGCTCCAGAGGCCTGATTGGTTGTTTGGACTGGGTTTTTGCAGCCTCGAGTAAAGTGGCCCTTTTTACCACAATTGGTTGTTTGCCTTGGGGCAGTTCCTCTTGTAATGCCCGATTTCTCACAGCATGGACCAGGGATGTGGTGATGATAACTGCACTTATTGCACTAAGGGAGGGTACCAGTATACCTACTAGTAGGTGCTTGAGTTGCAGGAGCAGTGACAGGGGTAGTAGCAGCGTGAACTGCTACCGTGCGTTGCTTCTTTGAGGGCTCCTGTGAAGATTGACCCTTTCTCTGCTTCCAGAATTTTCTCTTCTCACCACTCCCTTTAGCCGGTTCAGGAGTGGCGGTCACTTCATCGAGATCGACTCCATGATCAATCAGAGTCTATGCCAGGCACTTGGCGCTATCAAATGTAGCTGGCCGAGCAGCCAAGACATTTCCTTTGGTCGGCTGGGTCAGCCCCCAAATGTATCTTTCAACCTTTTTGCTTTCCGGGGTGACCATCCCTGGGCAGAGAAGCGCTAGGTCTTCAAACCTAGATGTGTAGGCGGCAACGTCAGAACCCTTCATCTTTAGGTTCCAGAGTTCGTGCTCCAGTTTCTACATTTCGCCCCGAGGGCAATACTCAGCAAGCATGAGCTCTTTCAAGCTCTCCCAACCCATAGCATTTGCTATTGGCAGGGTTATGGATTTGACCCGACCATTCCACCAGGTCAATGCTTTGTTGGTGAAAGTGCAAGCGGTGAATTTCACCTTGTTAGCTTCGGAACAAGAGCAGATTTCGAAGATGGACTCAATCTTTTCGAACCATCGAGTCAGGGCAATAACACCTCCAGTGCCGTCGAAAGGATGTGGGTTTTACGTTCATGAAGTCCTTATAAGAGCACTCCTTCTGGTGTCCTTGACCACTTTCCTGATTTTGGGGATGAGTACCACTTCCTTGCCCACTAGATCTGCCATAATTAATTTGTGACATTGCGGCAGCCACAGCAGCAGTAACAACTGCCTGGAACACAGCGGGATCAAACTGAGGGGGTGGTGGTGGTGGAGTGTCGTTGTTCCTTCTGATAGGTCTTTTTCGGGGAGGCATCTCGTTCTAGAAACAATCAGGAAGAAGAGGGTGGTAAGTCCTCGAGATATATGAAACAAAATATATCTCATCCTGATAATAAAGTGTTCTACTAAGCGATAAGCAAAGGAAAGTTACTAATGCAAGTAAGTTATCGCTAAGAAACGAATATGTAGCAACACTAGGAATGAATTCCTACAATGTATTCAGCTCTGACTAAAATACTCCTATAGTATTTTAAGTTGTATGGATACCGGGTAAGTTTTAGGCCTGTTGCAACACCAAGGTCACTCACAAGCACATGTTGGTCATGTCTCGAATGAATATAGTTGATCAGGCTATATTGACCCTAGACATGATTACATAACTGCCCAGGTTTAACCGCAATGCTAAACATCCAAAATACTTTTGTTTTGTTCTACTCATGACACGGATTCTGGTACTCGGGTATACTTGTATATTCTTTGTAAAAATACTTATATTTTAAAAGTATACTTTTAGTTCAGAGCACTTCAGCCCCTTAGTATTTATAGTTGTATACCATGTAAGGTTTGGTATACTTAGTTCACTATAAACAATAGCTCTGATACCAATCTGTCACACCCCGAAACCGTGATGGCGGAAACGTTCTGGGGCGGAGGACGTCATGCGTAGTATCACAACAGTTGTATCATAGTAAGCGAAGTAAACACAACCATTACATTATAATATGAATATTTACATTGTTCAAAAACATGATTTATACATAACAGTATATAGCAAAAGTAAAAGACGTGACTTCAGAATGTTCCGTCTTCTCCAAAAGTTGGCAAGAGTACCTGTCTATTGATGCCCTGAGAATACAAGCAGTTTTAAAAATATCAGCATAAAGCTGGTGAGTTCATAAGCATTTAATTCTGGTGAAGGAAATGTTTCTTTGATTCTTTGAAAAGTTGTTTCCCAAGAAAATCCTATATTTTCTTATGAAAGAGGTTTGATTAACCATTAGTTATACATTAAACAGCCTGTTTATGAAAGGTTAAGTTATCCCAGGAAAATCCTATATTTTCCTTAAAAGTTGATAGTTGATTATCGATTCTGATACGAGGTGTACAAGCATCTGCCATACTTGTATCGATAGATGTAGTTTCTTTGAAAAACCCTGGTTACTCGCTGTGAGATGTATTAGCCTTATTACATAAATAAAACTAATATAAATAGGTAGTGAACTAGATCCTGAGGGCGTTACTGATGCCCTCTAGTAATCAAATCAGTTATTACTTTGAGGTTAGTTCACTCGTTTTATTATTACAAAAGTAAATTCTCGTTACCTAAGTTGTGACATAACCATACTTAGACTGGATAAGGCACGAAACGGGGGCCAGTATCTTTTATGACTTTGTCACCCCTGAACCCAACGGTTCCGCTGTAGCTAGCAGCGAGGGTGCGAGATAGTCAGTCCCATATAGATCTATACACAATAGTCACGCTCTCCCTCCAAGAGATTCTGGTTATAAGTCGTAGTCCTCCACTCACGAATCCGAGGGAGTGTTACCAAGGACATGTCTCAAAACTTAACCTAACAAATTACAAGTAATAGTACGAAAATCCTGCTTATGATTTACAAGTTTCTTGCTTTAGATCTGAAAACTGTTTCTACGAGTTGATTTCTTAATCGATTGGTAAAACAGTTTTCTGAGTTAAAAGCATACTGAACATAAAATCATTCTATGCAAAATGAGATAATTTGAGCACAAGTTTCCTTGTACTTTTGCTTGTATTCCCCCCTGAAAACATGAAAAACTCGAAAAAAGCGTAGGGGTATGAACTCACTGTTTGACGGATGATTCGAGCGGATGATCGGTTAGGAGTGTTGAGTGTCAATTGAGGTTTCGTACGCAAGTGGATGCTATTAACATGTGATAACACATATGCGTGTTATAATTAGGGTGTTTCATGACTAAACATGACGGGAAAACCACCCTAAAGACTTGGAAATGCTTGTTGGGACCCTATATGATCAAACAAGGGAGGTGTACGACTATTTGAGTGAGTGTGCGGCCAGGCTGTGTGTGCGGTTGCACACAGGAGTGTGCAGCCGTACAGAGGGTGTATGCGGCCGTACACTCCTCATTTGTGCCCAAAATGTCGATTTTGAGGTGTTCTTGTGCTAATACCAAGTCCAACTAGTAAATGGAGGCCAAACTCTTCACTTTGGGGAGTCTTTAAGGGGTGTGCGGCCACCTTATGAAGGTGTGCGTCCGTACACCTTCAAAGGATGAAGAACACGAAGAACACTATGAGTTTTAGGCTTAGATTCAGGTGTCTTACCACTATAACAAGTTGAATGATAGAGTAATTCACGTTCTTGAGGCCCTTAGAGTGTTCTTGGATGAAGTTTTTAGAGAGAGAAAGTATTGAGGGAAAGTAGAGTGCAGCCAAAGGAAAGGAATGAGTGAAGGGGGTCTCCTTATATATATAAGGGGGAGTGTGCGGCTGGAGGGTGGGTGTGCGGCCGCACACCCATGTGTGCGGCCGTACACACCTCTCAGGAGGGTATATGGCCTGATTTTGTCTCTATACGACTTGTTGACTCATTTCCAATCTCATTCCCGGCTGTACTAAAGCTCAGAACACTTAAACTAACTGTTAAACGATGTTAAAAGATGATAAAATCGAGTTTAATATTGAAATAAAGATCAATTGTACAGGATAAAAGTTTCGGGTTGTCACAACTTCTTTCCATAGTTCTCAGGTGTTCGAGCAACAGATACCTTGCACAGATCTCCACATCCACATGTAACTATTCTTTTCTTTCTCGATGTTGGACAACCTTGGAAGCTTGATTTGGCAGACGAAGTCGCCATTTAATAGATACTTAGGGTAGAAGATGGGGGAGAGAATAGAAGACAGGGGAGGGAAAGACTTTGGATCGATGTTAACGGAAGACGATGATGTTTGGGGGTTAAAAGGGTGGATGTAACCGGTTGGTAAAGGGGAACCGGTAAAAAACATTAAAATGAAACATGAGGGGCAAATGTTAGGCATCTGTGGCAAACAAAATCGATTTTGGGCATAACCGGTTTTTTTTATGTAAATTTAAGGGCTTTTATGACAAAAACCTGTAAAAATAATATCCAACTTTCCTAAATTTCAAGGACAGAGAACACGTATTTATGCGTTCCCCAAAATTAATGCCACAACAAAAAAAGGAAAAAACACGGAAGACGTTTGATTATTTTTAATGAAACGCGCGTGTCCATATAACATCTCCATTTACCTAAGGAGGGAAATGAAATCCCAAAAATCACAAACCCCGCTTATTCTCCTCTCCCTTGTTTCCACCGGCAATGTTGTTGATTTTTTTTGATTCGTTCAGACTCCAGAACAAACATATACATCAATCTCTTATCATTCACCTTTAATTTCTTAATATTGTAGTTAAGGATTTAGGGTTTTTTCGTATTACTGTTCCATTTTTTTTTTCATGTTCGAATTTTAGTCAAATGGCATCCCTGAAGGAAATTCTAACACTTCGACCAGTGGCGGCGACAGTCCGTCTCACCACCCCAGCCGGCGGAGCAAGACCTGGACCACCGGTAGGTCCGGCAGTAGGTCAGTACAGAGTTAACCTAATGGCGTTCTTCAAGGACTTCAACATTCGCACCCATAAGTACAAATCGGAAGCCCTAATCGTTGGTACAGAGTTAACCTAATGGCGTTCATAAAAACGCTGCTGGAATTGACTCTGGGAGTGGGCGTGCAGGTCTTGTTGTTGCATCAACCATAATCCTAAAACCCATCGATGAAATCGCAAAGGTGAAGCAAGAAGATACGTATTGTCTGTACATGTCCTTGGAGGCGATTTTAAAATCAATTATAGGTACAACTAAATATATGGGGTAATGGGGATTAAGGCTGAAAAGGAGTTGGATTGATGATGAATCTTGAATTCTTGATTGATGAATGTTAGATTTTTGTCGGCTAGTGTACTTGAGATGAATATATGGATTTGAATATTTGATAATTGCTTTGAAAACTGCATAAAAATCTTTGTGATTGAAGTTGTTTAAAGGTTTTCCTATGTTGAACGTTTTGGAGTGATTTTGGTTTCTCATGCATGCGGTAAGAGTTATTTCATATCATTGCTAATTCAATTTTTTTCGAATCTTCTTCCAGATGCTATACTCAAGGAGGTCTAGGTATGTGTAATTGTGTATGTCTCTATGTATTGCATATGTTTCTTGAAAAGATTTTTTTTATCTGATAAATTTTCTCCCTTTTTGAGTAATATTTTGGGTATGTGGTTTAGGTGGAAGATGTTCACCTGGTTACTGATCCTTGGACTCAAGAATCCTGTCGATTTAGGTTTGTATCCATGTCCAACATCAAGGAAGCTGATCGATGCATCAAGTATGTTGATGGATCTGTTCTTGACGGTTGTTTCATCTGTTCAATTGGAAGTTCCCGATTTACTATTTTTCTCAACATATACTCTTTTTGTCCTATTTTTGTTTGAGATATATCACCAGGTAAGTAAAATCCACCTACCCATCTTTGATCATATGTATTATTTATTATTATTATTATTGTTCATCTTCATATCTTATTGTTTATTTTGTATAATGAACAGGCTAAAAGTTTACCAACAGATAAACTCAGGATTGTTTATGTATCAGTGAATGCAGGAGTTTACTTGATACAAGTAAGGTACTTATATTATTTCCCAAAAAGACCTGACATATTACAAATTTGCAATTTTTTTCGAAAATGTATTTTTTTAACATCAATTATTGAATAATGATTTGAGACAAGTTTTTTGCTTCAGGGTTGTCTTTGGATATACCTTTGGTTGGATGATAGCAACATGGTGCGATTCCTTGGAAAGATATTTGTTGCATGTAAAAAAGTATTAAATTCAGAAGGAAATATTAAAAAAAAAAAAATTGGTTTTTTCTATATATGATTAAATAAAAAGTCAAGAAAAGACAATCTTTCTTTTAAAAATGGAAAGCATTCCGTCCTTGTTTTCCAACCCAATACTAGAATGGAATGGAATTGAATTCCAATTCCGACCTAATTTCATGGATTCCAGTGAACCTAACCTGTTAAACATGAACTTAATGCAGGCTCTTCTTGAGCTGCTGTTTTGGAGACCAGAGATGGCCTTCATTGGCATGCATATTTATAGGGGTTGGTTCCAAAGTTCTTTATTAACCAGTGTTGCAACAAAAGGTATATTTTTACTATTATTAACATGTTTTATTATGATCTTTATTATTGTGATTATTTCTTATTCTTATTTTGTTGAATTGATTATCATAGGAAAAGCTCCATAGTCTGGACTTATAACCCATGGATTTGTGTTGGATGAGAGAGGTTTAAAAATGAGCAAATCCTTGGGTAATGTGGTTGATCCACGTTTGATAATTGAAGGAGGCAAGAATTAAGAGGTTAATCATAGCATCTCACTTTAAATTCTTCCTATTCTACTTAAAAAAAAATAGATTTATGAAATTACAAAGTAAAACTATAATGTTACAACATTAATCTTTTAGTAGCATATTAACTGTTTTCAGTTTTCTTTACGGGAATCACCTTCTGATGGAGCTGATGTTCTTAGGATTTGGGTCTCAAGTGTAGAATTGTGCCTGGCAGTACACAAGTATAATGCCAAGAAAGGTATCATTATTATAATTAAGATAAGATGTTTGGTTGATTTACATATAGAAAAGACATCTTGTTTGTGTGACAGATGGGTTAATTTCTTAGATCATGCACTTAAATGAATGAGTGGACTCCGGAGGAGGATTTAAAATTGAAAGATGCAATATCAGAACATGGATATTTCTGTCTAAAGTAGTCGTATGTGTTCCTCCACGAACCTATAGTCACTCCTCCATTGCTTCTATACAAGTAAGTATTCCCCTCTCTCATCTTTTACATTCTTCATGATTTGTAAACACTTGTATACTTTTTGATTTACAAGTTCTTAACTTTATTCTAGGGATCGATCAAGAACAGCCTCAAAGGTGAAACCATGGCAAAGCTACACTCATGTTGCAGTTTTTAACTTTATCAAAGATGATTTACAAGTTTCTAACTTTATTTCAGGGATTTACAAGTTTTTAACATTATTTCAGTGATTTTGTATACTATTGACAAGACTAGCTTGCTTACCCATTGTTGCTATTCACTTTTCTCATGTAATGGTAATAAGTAATAACAATCTACTTTCTTTTTTTCTTTTTATTAATATTTTACTTTTCATGTGCAGTCTGTTAAAAGAAGCTTGGTGTTGGTGATAGCAACGAGACTCCTTTCCATTTATGGTTTCATTTCATTGCTCTTAACATAATATACACTTACGATCAGAAAAAAAAGTTTGTTTTAGTTGAAGGTTAAAAGTTGGTTTTAATTGCATTATTCAGATTTGAAGGTCTTGTTGATGTTCATAGTGTCAAGTAAAGTAGCTCGGATGCGGTGAAGGTCGGCAACAACTTCTTATAGTTCGACTATTATTTGTTGATGACTTTCATCTCTTTCACATTTGATGTATTACATCTGTCTACTATTGGAACTATTATTTGTATGACATTAAATTTTGTGCAATGGATTGTATTTTTTGTGTCACACCCCAAACCGGAACGGCGGAAATGTTCGGGGGTGGAGGACATCATATACAATATCATATCAATTGAATAATAGTAATCAAAGCAACAACCATTATATTGATAATAAAGTATTTACATTGTGTTCGAATCATAGTTTGATTGTCTCCAAAAGTACAAAGCAAAAACTAAGACGTGACGCTACTATGTTCCGTCTTCATAAAACCTGTGTGTATAACTGTGTATTGGTTTTCTGAGAATACAAGTGGTTTTGAAAAAGTGTCAACATTTAAGTTGGTGAGTTTATAAGCATTTTAGTTTTAGAAAGTATGTTCTTTATTCTTTGAAAATGTCAGTGTGTTCCTCCAGAAAAAGAAATGTAGTCTTAGGCCTTAAGACCAAAATGTATAAGTTTCTTATGCTTAAAGTATGAAATATGACGCTTTGAATTCCTATAAGTAAGGTGTCCCATATTGATTCCTCCTATGATTACTTAGTGAATAGAAGTTATATATAATCAAAGATCGAACAGACAGTCGAATGTGTGTATCTGCCCTAAGCCCACAATCAAACAAGGAACAAGAAGTAAGGCGGAAATCACACATTCCACTGCCTATCGGATCTTCATTTCATATAACCCTACCATATTCACTAGGTAATCACAGAGTTATCAATAATGGTCCTAACCGAAATGTAAGTAATTGTTGGGTACAAAGTTATCCATGTATAACTTTGTAAATGGTTTGACTTTTGTAGACCCACTTGCATGTGGTAAATTAGCCTTGTGACATGAGAGAGAGAGAGAGAGAGAGAGAGATGTAAACACCTCTATATAAGGTGGGTTCATACCACTTGTAGAGGTGTGCTTGAGAGATGTCGTTCATAGTGATTAGTGAGTGAGGTATTTATGGAATTCTAGATCTAGTACCTTTTTTGTACTCATTTACTATGATCGAATACACCTTTTAGCACCCAAATCATCATGTTCTTTGTGTGTTCTTTAATTCTGCATGCCAAATCAATGTTCATAATTCACATCAATTGGTATCAGAGCGGGTCTTCGAAGATCGACATGATTTTTTGAAGAAACGATTCTCGGTTTGGCTACAATCATCATAATTGGAACATTTATGGTGAGTCTCTCGATGATCTCTCTTAATCTCTCAGACTTTTTTTTGATTTGTGCTTATGTTCTTGAATTTTTTGATCATTTTGACTCATTGGATCAATTTTTTTTGAAAAACCCATTTGTTATGATCCAATAATTTTTTCAATGATCAAGACCCGATCCAATTCTATTTGTTTTTTGATTTGATTCTCAATTGCAATTATTTGTTTAAATCAAGAATTTGGCCCAAAAATCGTGTTATGGATCCATTTATTACATTTTGTTATCTTGAATCCATGGTTTTGATGTTCGTTACTGGTCATATCCAAATATTGAGCCCAGTTTTCGATCCAATATCTTAAAACAAAAAGTCCAAATGTTCATTAAAATCAAATATACGATTCGTTGACTGTTCTTCATTTTGTGCATATACGAGTTGTACATCTTGATATTCTTGATATTCCAAGCGATTCATCTGTTGCGTCATCGTTCTTGAGTTCCGATTTCATTTTAACGATTCTAAATAATCGATTAGAGTTTGTTTTGATTGTTAAATGGGCCTTATGAATCGATTTTATGTTTTGTGTTCATTCTTAAAATCAATTTTGTTCAAGTTAAAGTTGAAAAATCATCAAATTGTATCTTTGATTTAGATGAACTTGACCAAAAACACATGAATATGATGAAGAACAATTGATTGAACACTTTTTGGTCTGGAATTTGGTGTTGGAATCTTGAATTTTGTGTTTATTGATCTTTGACTTCGAAAAGTCAAACTCGATTTTTATGTGGTGATTCTATGAATTGGAGGCTAAAAGTGGTTAATAGGAGTTGAACATGGGTTGTAGATGTCGAAATCAAGTCTGATTTAGGGTTTAATTTCGAAGGTGGATGTATTTTGTTCTTGATAACGAAGGCTATGACTTGTTCGACACTTGAGTTTTGATTTTAGACTTGAGTGTGTTTTGGAAATCGTTTGGTTACTGATGTCAAATAGGAAGGATGGATAATGATGGATAGATAAAGAAGGATAGATTGAGTGATACCGAATGGGTCTAATTTGTGAATGGTAAAATCAATTTCGATGGTATCGTCATGGGAGCGTTCAAGTTGTAAATTGAGATTCTGTCGAATGGGTTGATTGATGTTGAAGTGATCTTTGGAGTCGACTTTGGTGATACTCGGGTTTTGATAGTCGATTTTGGCAAGATAGATTGGCAGCGAGATCGAAGGCCATTATTTTGGATTGATTTGGGTTGAAAACTAAAAGCTAAGGCTGAGAAGGTGTAATTTCGAAGGCTTGTTGTTTGTATCGACATGCGATGGTCGAAGGGTTCTTCAATAGCATCGATGTCGAGGGACCGTATAAGGCATCGATGTAAAGGGTCCTTTAGATAGAAGGTTCAGAGGTCGTTACCAAGAGTCGATGGTTGATGGTCGATGGTCGATGATGTTCATCCGTTCGCTTCCTGGTATCGCATTGGGAAAGATAAACATGATCATTTCGATTTAAATCGTTCATCTTTCAGCAAGTTGGCTATATTCACCCAATTTTTAAATGGTGTCAAAATTTTATGAAGTATGAAGATGTTTCACATTCAGTCCCTGCAGTTAATGCGAATTGACGCTTTCTACCCAGTTTCACAAATGGGGGAGAATTTCGCATTTTTGGCTGTTTTGGGCGCACCGGGTCACTGCAGAATTTTGAAATTGACAATTTCTACCCACTTTTGAGAAATTTTGTCAAAGGCGGTCCGTGAACGAAGCTAAAAATTGAATTTTTTTTGATTTTACGGATTGAAGCAAAAATGTTTATGCCATGTTTTAAGGGAGAGTTTTGGATAAAAAAATTCCTTATTGAGCACTTTCTCATTCCTTTTTGGTTTTTATAATCATTTTTCGATTATAAAAAGGGGGAGAAATTTATATGGAAATTCGAAAGTTGAATTTTTCATATTACACGGACTTGAAGACCGAAGTGACCTCGAGTATTTGAAGCTTATGAAATCATTCGATTGGAAATTCGGAAGTGATTTAGGTTCATGATGGGTTTGGTCTCATTGAAGATTTTTGGGGTGTGCTTTTATGCTCAACTTTAGGGTGATTATTTGGAGATTGAGAAACTCCTAATTATCCGTTGATGCTCAGTTTGTATGGCCTCATATTCTAGAACCCGGATTGAAAAATCATTGAAGATTTGAAGATTTGAAGTTCATCTCTACATGTGTCACGTTTGAGGCTCGATTCACGTAGTTGCTTGATTTTGGAAGATTTGAAGCGGGTCATCCATTCCTAAATTTGAGGGGGAGAATGTTGGGTACAAAGTTATCCATGTATGACTTTGTAAATGGTTTGACTTTTGTAGACGCACTTGCATGTGGTCAATTAGCCTTGAGACATGAGAGATAGAGAGAGATAGAGAGAGAGAGAGAGAGAAAGAGAGAGAAAGACATGTAAAAACCTCTATATAAGGTGGGTTCATACCACTTGTAGAGGTGTACTTGAGAGATGTAGTTCATAGTGATTAATGAGTGAGGTATTTATGGAGTTCTAGATCTAGTACCTTTTTTGTACTCATTTACTATGATCGAATACACATTTTAGCACCCAAATTACCATGTTCTTTGTGTGTTCTTTAATTCCGCATGACAAATCAATGTTCATAATTCACATCAGTTATCGTATTTGTTTCCAGAAAATCCTATATTTTCTTTGTAAATGAGTTGTAAGTAATGTGACCCATACTAGTTCCTTCTATGATTACTTAGTGTATGCAAGTTATATATAATCAAAGATCGAACGGACAGTCGAATGTGTGTATCTGCCCTAAGCCCACAACCAAACAAGGAACAGGAAGTAAGACGGAAATCACACATTCCACTGCCTATCAGATCTTCACTGTATATAACCCTAACGTATTCACTAGGTAATCATAGCTTTAGCAATAAGGTTCCTCAAGATATGTTTTCCTGAAATGCTAATTGTACCGTATTAGTAAGTAGTATAATGTATTGCTTTTAGTATAACTGTGTGTAAATTATAGAAATCCCATAACTTCCTTCTATAATCTCTTAGTGTATACAAGTTATATAAAATCAAGGTTGAATAGGCCGTCGAATGTAATGGGTCTGCCCTAATCCCACAACCAAACAAGGAACATGATCCAAAGTGGACCCACCAATTCTATGTCGATCGAGTCTTCATTTTATATAACTCTAGCTTATACACTAAGCAATCATAGACGAAAATTTGATTCTCTGTTGTCCTAAAGCCGACGAGTATGAAATGTTGTATTTGAAGATAGTGTAATACAGTTTTATTATCAAGTAAAACTAGCTGACGACGTGTTTGCCACGTAAACTAAAAGTAATGATAATACCCTCCTATGATTACTTAGTGTATACAAGTTATATACAATCAAAGATCGAACAGACAGTCGAATGTGTGTATCTGCCCTAAGCCCACAACCAAACAAGAAACAGGAAGTAAGGTGGAAATCACACATTCCACTGCCTATCGGATCTTCATTGTCTATAACTCTAAGTTATATACTAAGTAATCATAGAGTTAACAAAGATGGTTCTTTCCGAAATGTAAGTTGTACTGTACTAGAAAAATAGTGAAAAGTAGTCTTATTATTAAAATAAAACCGTTGAAGTTATATTTGTCCCGTAAAACAAAATGATTAGTTAATGCTTATTGTGAGAGTTATTATAACCATGCTTACAACTACTGGTCTACACGACGTTCTATAGGCGTCAGAATGTTATGACATTTCTCACCCCAGAACTTCCATTTTAACTGTAGCTAACAGTCAGGGTGCGGGATTGTCAGTCCCGTATAGGTCTATACACAAATTCACGCTCTCCCTCCAGGAGACTCTGGTTATAAAATTCTAACGGGTACCCTAGTTGGTACAATGAAGTAATGTCTCACAATCCTGTATTAACTAGTTCATTTATAGTGAAATGAATAACCCTTTTTCTTGTAACTGAAAACGTAA